AAATTTAATCAATTAATTAAATTTTAGCACATTTAGCATTCGCCACCGCTTATATTGGGTCTCCATTTCAGTTTGGCCGGTATCGCTTAGTTTTTATGAGTCAAATGTTTGCTCAAATCATGACTTGCCGCTAGATGATGTTGGTTTATTCGAATGCCATATTTTCAAAGTCCCCCCACCCTGAACTACTCCCCAAGAACACACCGCTCTGAGAAAGCTGTTTGATACAGAATTGTACTAGGTTATGAGAACAAAACATGTATGCACATACATTTATCATACACGGCATCATTTTTGTGGTTAAACTGTTAAGCCAAAAAAAAACACAAACCATTTAAACATTGATATAAAGTAATTTTTTAATGTAAATATAAATAAATATTCATTTTTATTAAAAATGTCTGTTTTAAACATGATTTTATAGTATTGAACTAAAAATATTTTTTACCAAATCACCTTTAGTTAGTCAACTGATTTTCAGAGCACGGTATTATAATTGGTAACATGTTTTTTTTAATAAATAAACAAAATGCAATTACTGAAGAACAACAAAGTTAATATAATTGGGGTTTGAACAAATATAGAAACACGTAATTGCTGTGTTTTAAATGAAGGTTTTCACATTTTAACTTTTTATTTAAACTTTTTCCTTCCCCTGTTAAAATGTTTATTTGAAAAGAAAATTTAAAACCTGTTTAAAAAATCACTTTCATTGGTCAATTAAAGGTCTATTTTAAGAAAGATCAGAGAACCGGCGGGGTGAATATTTCATAGCATTGATTTCTTTTTAATTACACTCCCAAAATTAACTTTGATGGATTAGATTCTTACAAAAACAAATATAACGTTTATTCAAAATAGAAGCAAAAGCGTCTTTCGAATCTCTAGAAAGATGCGAGCAGTTGGTAACAATTGTCCTCCTTTTATCATATTATATATATATATATATATATATATATATATATAAGTATATAACTACATGCAGGCATTTAGTATACTATTATTTGCTATATACTAAACCTATGCATAAAACTACCTCAAATTACGATAAACTGCGATAGTTATATAGTATAGTCATATACAGGTTCTCCTTTTTAAATGGCCTGGCTGAATTTCTTTTGAACCAATGACTATCAAAAAAAAATTGTTTAATATTTTTCAGTCTAGTTTCAAATTTTACTTTTTTTGTAGAAAAATTATACAGCGCACCTCAATTGCCAATTGCCTTCATTAGAGAGAGAGAGAGAGAGAGAGAGAGAGAGAGAGAGAGAGAGAGAGAGAGAGAGANAGAGAGAGAGAAAGAGAGAGAGAGAGAGAGAGAGAGAGAGTGAGAGAGAGAGAGAGAGAGAGAAAGAGAGTATTTCAATATAATAGAAGTAAATCATTAAAGATATTTCGTTAGGATATTATTAACGTGTTATGTCATGATGAAAAAGAATAATTTAATGAAGCTTTTTTGCTAAAAATCTATTTTTACTTCGTTAATAAATAACTTAGCCAATAATTTTGTTCGAGTAATACGATTTTTCCAAGTCCTTAAATAATGCGCCCTCGGACAAAACTGGTTAAGTCAATGTTGACAAAATGGGATAAGTGTACATTCGGGTAATTGTCAAGCCTGACAGACTGTGTATAATTGATTTTATCGAGAAGGAAATATGCCTTTTTAGACATCTCGAAAAGTCACATCAACATTTCAATAATTCTGAATATTTGTAAAGTCCTAAAACGCATATACTGATATGGAATTTTTGTGTATTCGCCCATGTCCTAATATATATGAATATTTGTTTAGGTTCAAAGAGATATGTTTTTACCTACATGTATAAGCATTTTTTTCTTTGCTAACAAAGTGGTTTTTATTAGAACTTGACTTAGTCCATTCTATCCACCAACCAAATAGAAGTTATCCTTCAATTAATGAATAAGAGGGGGTACCATAATCAGCATGTGCCCTATGTATTAAAACCTAGCTAAGTTTCCCTGAATAATGTGATAAGTCCCAAATAACCATGAATGAAATGTGAGTACAATAAAAAAAATTACTAGGCAAAATTTTAATTATACCAATGGTTTAAACTTTAAAATTGTAATTCTGATAAGGTGTTTTTTTCTTATCCAGATTTCTGATGATGTATTACGTTGCTAAAATATTACACTTTTTTAAATTTATCCTTAAATCATATTAAAGTTTATTAATTAATAAACTGTTATTAAAATCAACTTGAGCATCTTTTCCGTCGTTTCTCGAACAAATGTTCGAATAATCTTAATTTTATTTTATGTCGTTTATAATATTAATTTAATATAAAAATTTTATTTAATAAAAACTTTAATAATATTTAATTAAATTATTTTATTATTGATCCCCGATAATATGCGGCCAGTATGGTAAAATGAAATTAAAGTTTTAATTAATAATAAATTTCGTTTAAAGAACAACTAAGTTCTCAAATTTATCTCTATTTAAACAAATTCTTTAATTGTAACTGCTCAAAAATGAATAGGGATATTGCCATAGCTTTGTATTTACTTTTCCTAGCTTTTTTATTTTTATTATAAATGGCATTAAACTCTATTAGAAATTATTGTTTTTTTACTGAAAGAAAATTTATTTAAAGGATTTTGAAAAATAACAAAATAAAAGGTTTTAATTCCATATCATTCGGACACAATATTTTTTTAAACAATTAATACCTGTATAATGTCCTATTTTAGCTAAAACCTTTGTGCACTCCATAGAGTTGCATTGCTGCCCTCAGTTGTTGCACGTCAATTGGCAGCTGGTGATCGAAAAGCCTTCTCTGCAACGCACCCCACATGTGCTCAGGTCTTGCATTGAGGCCTTCAAAAAACGGGGGAAGGGGCAGGTGGGAATTTCCCAGGTTTTCTAAACATTGACGAACAACTCTGCCTCCATGAGATCTGGCATTGTCATCCAGAAATCGAAAAACCCTGCCAACGAGATTTGAGGGATGAATTCCTCGATAATTTCTTAGACATAACGGACTGCGGGGTGGACCAATATACCGCATTCTCCAAACTGAACTGAAGGGAGCACGGGAGAATTTTAAGCATCCACCGTTCTCGGTAGACTCTTTGGTGCCTACTATCACTACAGAAACGCGACTCATCAATAAACATAACAGTATTCCAATTGGTGTTCTCTTCCGTTATTAATTAAAAATGAGAATTAACTTTTGTCCGTTTTCGGTTGTATATTGTATGTTCTATTTGGTTTTATCCTATTTACTAACAAAAATATAGGTTAATAGGTTAATTTAATTAAAATTCATAGAATAATAATAAATTACAAATATCCCTATCAGTTTTGAGCAGTTTATATTAGTGCATCATTAACAAAAATGCCACACGCTAAAATAATTAAAAGTATAGACCTTTAATTATCTTGGGACGAAGGATGAGGAAAGGATCTCTATTTTGAAAGACTTACATGTCGTGACGGTTTAGTATAGCAATAACGCCGTTTTTCCCCTCGCTTCCATTGGTATACTATTGTCACTGATGAATCGGAAAAGAAATATAGACGGTCTAAATTATATTGTAGAAATTGATTCGGCAAAAGAATTATTAAACAACCGGAACACATTGTTTGAAAATCCCATTTGGCTCTATTGACAAAATCAAATTTACTAATTATTCCTAATTGACAGGTATCGTAGAGTCGCCTGACAAATGTAGTTCAAAACAGATCTGACCGGTTTATAAATCAGGGTCGTTTGGGGATAACATTATTAACATGTCATATTAAATTTCCGTTTGGGGATAAGCGTTGTTAAACAATTAGTTACAGTTACACTACATGAGAATATGTGTTAATAGTCGACTAAATAGTTTTGAATAAATATGGGCCTGTTTTATGAGCAATATATTTATTTTATACGATAGCTTGCACTCAACCGGTCTTGACAATAAGTGACACACAAGTAATGTACTAGCCCACGCGATAACCGTAATTTATAATTTAAAATTGTTAATATTTTACGACAATGACGGTAATATTATGCCTTCGCACTATTTGTTCTAAACAATATATTTATGACATACAAAAACAAATGCCTTCTTAGAAAAGTTTTTGTAAGATAACTATCCAGACTTCGGGCTCAATAATCACACTTATAAATGATGAAATTTTTTTTAAATTCAAATTTTCATAATATTCAAGACTCTGGCAAGACGTTAAATTCATACTTGTTATAACGTGTTGTATTCTGCTTTAAAAAATTTCTTTTCCCAATACGCGATTATACAAATTAAAGTCATAATTCCGAAGTAGTGTTTTCTCATTTGAATACAGGATTAAAACCGCAGGGTAAAAAATTTCGCTATATCTTCTTGTTCATGTTTTAGCCTAATAATAATTAAACGAACGTTCATTGTTCTTGGGGTTTTTTCTCTCGTAGCAAGAGAATTAGTACAAACCAAACAAATAACAATATTTCATGGCAAGAAATCATTTAGAAAACACTCGTCCGTATAGAAGATTGTTATTATTTTCTTTATCAACACGCCAACCAATTAGTTGGTTTGACATTTTGAAATAAACCCTAGTAGAATAATATAAAGAGTTTAAACACTCGAGGGTTCTTGTAAAATCATAGTTGAAGCTTTACAAATACAAGTGGTAAAAAATAAGATTAAAATCAAGACAAGATGAAAACCATTTTCCTACATTCAGCTGTAATTTATCCTTATAAACAGCACAATATTTAAAACTTTTCTTTGTTCTAATCGATTTTCTATTTTTTTAATATAACTGTCATAGTTTGATGAAATTTCAAGTTTTATTAAAAGGCTTTTCTTGATAACCTTATTAGGTAAACAAGAAAAGAGAATATATTTATTGAAAAGTCATATTGGAAAAATGATTATTGTTTTTGTTGGCCTATTGGTCTTGCTGTTTTCTTACAGTTTATGTATTGAGAAAGTCTTTTTGAAAGGTTTTGGGTTTTTTCAGTATAACTATTAATAATCGTTACCTTGTGATCTTTCATTCTTATCTCCTGCCTCCGCGGTAAAGGCGATTCGTCATCGGCGTAAACGAGGTTTCTGACAGCGCCGCCAAATCTCGGCTCGAAGATGACACTTGGCAACGCGAGGAGAGTCAGCTTGGTGTTATACCACGACGGCATCCCACCGACGTAGACGTCTGAATTGGAAGCCAGCCTTCCGAAATAGAATTCCTTCCCACGGGAGACTTTAGTCTGCGACTCTCCGTCGACGGTGAGCGAGGTTTTTTCCCCGTTCCTCCTCACCTGGACTTTGTGCCAGTGACCGTCGTTCAGGTCCCGGCCGACGGTCAGGATCTGTGCTCCTCCGCCTAAGTTGTACCTCAGCCGGAGGGCACCTTCTACCAGTTTCAGCTCGAAAAAGTCGTACGTGCCGCCGTCGTCGGTGTAGAAGAGGAGCCCGTTGGCCTGCTCCGTCTTGAACTCCATCTCCAGGGAGCCGTTCAACGAGGGGTTCCATTTTCTGAATTGCGCGTAGGAAGTCTGAGAACCCTCGAGGACAAAAGCCCCGACCAATGGCAAAACAATCAGGAGGAGGAGAGCCATCTACTTCCTCCCTCCTTCACCTCATATGTACAACTGTCATGGCGCCATACTCATCGACTGAACCGTACCAACCCTCGGGCACACAATTTCCCATTTTCCCCGTCGAGAATCCCGCAGTTCACCCCCGCACCCATAGCAACCGGCCCAACGCCACCAACACCCTTTCATCACTTTTACATCTCTCAGCTAATCCATTGCTATTTACCAATTTCACAAAACTAATTTACTTTTCAATATAAACACTATTTTACTATTCATAAAGACAAGAATGAATATAATACACATAAAATCAAATTATTAACGACAAAGGAATGTTTTTATTTAAGTTTTTTCATCAATTTTGCCCTATTATTTGCCTCCATTCAAATTTCTACAATCTTAATTTTTTTTAAACAAAGTTTTTGTAAGGAAAGAAAATAATATTTAATAAATTTTAAAAATATTCTTTTACAAATAAATATATAAACTTAAATAGCCTTGATAACCGGCTGGCTGAGTTTAATTCCTTATTAATATATAAATAAAATACAGATTTACGGATGAGAAAAACATTGTCAAATAAAAAAGTATTTTTAGCTTAAATATTATATATAATAGAGAGAAAGAGAAATGAAGAAAGGATGGCACTCCGACCCGTATTTTGGGCCAAAGCTCTCGAATGTCCAGTTAAGACTAGTTGTTCTACATAATTGAATGATACCATTCCTTGGGTCCATATAAAGAGCGAGCAGGAATGCCCCCTGATATGAGAATTGTGGTGAAGTATTTCGGTGGGTTTTCGAAAAACAGGTCTTTTTATTGTATGTAATATTTAGGATATATGTCTTGTTTTGTTTCCCCGTGTATTGAGCGTGAATGCAATATCCAGTACTACACCAGCCTAACTAAATAAATAGTATGCAAATAGGAAAGAATATATATTTTAGATTAAGAGAGTTTAGATTCAAAGAATGATGTGAGTGTTTTTTTCTACACGAGTAATGCGATCACGATCAGGGATTTATCTTATCAAAAATCAAATAGGATCATGGCGAAGTATGTGAGTTTCAAGAAAATTATTTCATCCACTTAACGTTAAGACCAGAGAGTAGCGATTTGGGTCTTTCAATCAATGTGTTTAAGTAGGAGGAAAACCAATGCATCCAGAAACCCAGAGCAGAGCTTCTGTCGGACGAATAATCTAGTGTAATCTTCAAGAGTTCGGTTAAAATCACCGATAAAACGATCAGTGGGGTTTTAGCCAATTTTATAGCAGTATTCCAAAAACTTCCAAAATTAGGAGAGCTAGAAGTATTGAAGTGCTATTAAACATCCAGCCGTGTAACAGGAAATGATCGGTCTCTTTTTATTTTAAGAATGTGATACTTTCAGACTGAAAATCATTCGTTTCCAAAACCTAGACTGACAAGAAACTGGGTTTTTTCATGAACTATTAAAGTATTAATGATGACAGAAGAACCGACATCAAGAATCAAGAACAGTAGTTTATTTTACACATTCGCTGACATTTATCGGGTTCATCACCATAGACGTTACAAATCTATTCGTCTTCATTACTATTTTCAGGGCAGTTTTTTAAATATTATTGATTCTAAAAAAAACGAATACAGCAAAGATAGATATAAGCATAAAATAAGGGATAATATCATACGTTGAGTTCCAGATGTAGACTAATTTAAAACCGATAATTTTCTGAAACTTGACTGACAAGAAAATGGCTGGTTTAGAAAAATTCTATTCAAATCAAGTAACGAATTAATGAAATCCGTGCTTATTTGGAAAAGCTATATAGACGATATTCTATTTACAAGTTACAAAGAATTCCTTAAAATAATGAATTTTTATACCATATATAAACTTTACGTTCGACATAAATACTTTATTTTTTGTTTAAACATTTTACATTTAAAACTGTCCACAATAAATTACTTAATTGAAATAGGCATATTTAGAAAACCGACTTCAGACACAATTACACCAGCACAAAAGTTCCATTAACACCCGTTAATTATAAGAGACAATTACAAACAAAACTCTAGCTAAAAACAATGGATATCAAAAATTATTTATTGATAGGTTGTTAGTAAAAATATTAAAAAAACATATATTTGGGAAACTATCGGAAAAATTAGGTGAAATTTCACCTAATTGTGAAGGAAAAGGTATTAAAGTAGCTTTTAGAGGTGCGTGTTCACTTAGAAACATCCTATCAAAACCTAAAGACAAGGTTGACAACTGGTCAAAAAGCTGAGTTTACAAAGTTACTTGTAATGATTGCAATACCAAATATACAGGACAAAGCGGCAGGTAAATTAAAACGAGATTTAAAGTACCCTTGCCTAAATTAAACAAATTTTCTGAATTTAAAGACCATCTAAACGAAACAAAACACAAATTTCAATTCCAATTTAAATTGAACAAAGTTAGGGGGTTAGTACAGTTTGAACAAAGGAAGGGAATTAGATGGTTTAAAAATTTTGTAAAAAAAATGTAAAATCAAAAAAAGGTAAATGCTTAAATAACACAACAGATTCTCATTCACCCCTAATTTTAAACATGTACTTAAAAAATGTTTACATTATTTTACAGTATTTATTAGGATAAATATTTAGTTGTACTGTAATTCGCACGTTCAAAATTGAGCAGCATTAAAACCAACTTCTCCTTAGAACGTTTATAAACTATTAAAATATTAATTGACAGAAATGAAACTATATTGTGATATAAGAACATCTATCATCTCGGATAACCAGCTATTTTGGAACCCGTCGTGGCTAAAACTTAGACTGATAAAAAAAACTTTCATTTTTCCACTTCATCTATAAATTTAATCTTATTTTTTCACCATTTTTTAATTATCATTTTCCATGAATTTTAAAGCAACAAAAAAAACTTTTTTTACGTTTAATTCGACATATTATATAATTAGAAAAAACCTAACATTTTAATATAACTTATTGTAATGAAAGGACATTTATGCAAGCAATTTGGTAACTTGCTAATTTAAATTATCATTATATTATACTATCTTATTATTTATATTATCATTTATAGCCATTTTTAGAATTTTATATGTCAGTGCGAAACTCGTGATTTCGTTGTATTCGTCGTAACTTAATATGGCAATTCTGATTTAAAGAAAAGAGTTACCGTTTTAAAAAATGCAAATATGATAATACCATTAGTGATATTTGCCATAGGATAAATCATGACAAAGTAAGATTAGTAAAAATTACTGTCCCAAGTAAAGAAAATATGTTAAGCACGTAATGTTCGTTTAACTCACAACGAGAAAAAGTATTGTGTCTCAGAGCTGTACAGCTAGTGCAATTGGTGCTTATGGTTTACTTGACCTACTTAAAATTTCTGAATCTCAAGCTAAACCTCCAACCATTTATCGTGATCTAGAATTTCTGTTAAAACAAGGATTTATCTATTATGGACTGAAAGAAGTAAAATAAATTTGAGATAAAATGTTCTACCTATCGCGGAAGCAATAAGCTAGCTAATTCAGAACCAATTATGACCCAAACATAAACCGAAAATAGAACCTTTATATTTTATTTTTAACTTCGAAAATTGATCTTGATTTAACTTTTTCTACATTTTTAAATCAATTTAAACAATTATTGATTGAAATGAAGCGAAATAAAATTGAAATATAAGATCTCTACCGTATTGCGAAAGATATCTGCTAATTTCAGAACCACTTATGATGATTTCAAGTAATTTGAAACTATTATTGATTGAAAGAAGCAAAATAAATATAAGATATAAAATCTTCTACCGTACTACCAACGCAACCTACTACTTCAGATCTACTAGACTTTTCAAGAACATGTTTATTTGATGTTTCACCTTTAATATCTATCTCAATTTAACCAAATTCAATTTTTAAACTTTGTAACTTGATATCATCATCGTTCTGTACCTTCGTATATTTCCCATTTTTAAATTATTATTGAGTAAGATCTTTTAAATTAATTATTCCCTTGATAATTATGAATTGTGAACCATCTTAATGAGTGGTGAAATTTTGCTTTTTTTCAACTATTTGCAAAATATTGATAATTCTCCACTCAATACTGCTTAAATTAGACTTCTACTTTTAGCCCACATGAACGAACATTCATTTTTCAGTATTGACGTTTTTTAGATAGGAAAGATCAATTGAAGTTTTGCAATAAAATTTTGACAATGAGTACACCCGGCCATGATTTTAAGAATTTTATAAAGTTTCAAAACCGAACGTATGCAAAAAGTCTAAAGGCCCCTCTCAAAGAAATTTGTATCAGTTGTTTCTTAGAATCGTGATTTTGATGTTTTATGTTTGCAAAAGCTAGCAGATAAATCAGAAAACGAGGTAGAAAGCTCTCTTCCAAAATCCTATTCATTAAACAATAAAGTTAGGAATACGAATAACTTTGATTGGCCATGCGATTTCTATAGAATTTCTCGTTTTTTAGATCCTGATAACGGTAGAACGAACATATGGCGAAATAGACCAAAATCAAGAATTCAACAAAATTAAACGCTAAAATTACACAGTTGACTTCTTGAAGGTGCATAATAAAATTAAAATGGCCGATTTACGAAATTAAAAGTATAAAAAGTTGGGGAAAGAACGAAATAAAATACCTACTTCTACCCTGCCTTTCTGGCTGTTTAATACTTGGTTCGCGTGCCTCCACAAGTTCTTGAATTAATCTCTAACCACAATTCTCGCCTCTTCCTCCCCCGAATTCGTTCCTTATGTTAATTAACACTTTTGTTAACTTTAAGCCTTCTCGAATCGGAATTTTTAGGAATTTCCTAATTTGAAATATTTCCCAATTTCTTTTAAAAATAAAGATATGATTAATATGTACTGACAAATTTTGTTTATACATGTTTCTACAGAAATCATAAGGAAATCAGGTCCAATGGATTTCCGACGGTATATACTTCATCCAATACTACTCAGATTATAGTAGGATTGGAAGGGAATGGCGTTATTGACTTAGGCTGAAATATGTTTTTTTTTAATTTTTAAACAAAATAAAAATACAGAAAATGTTCCCTTTAGGAAATGGATCAGTAGCCGCCAAAGAGACTGAGAGTCAGTCTAACTCGAATT